GCTGAGCAAGCGGAGGCTTGAATAGCCTCTAGTCTAATTATAACTCCCGCATTTCACATAATGCATAGATTGCATACACACAAGATAGAAACCACATACCTAAACCTGCCTCAAGAATGCGGGATCAAACGTCAAGTTTGTTTGAGCACGACTGGAGCTGCAACCAAATTCACTTCCCATTCATGCAGTATCTTCAGCCAGTCCCACCAGCAAACCTGCAGTGGCCAGTCGGATCATGTGATGCATGAGTAAGATAGAAAGTGCACAAAAGCCTTTTAATCACCTTTTGCCTTGAGATGAAAAGCCGGTGCGTTTGGCCGGTGAGCAGAGCTCACTATCCGACTAGACGACAGTTGCTCGAGTAAACCGTCGCCTCGACTCGAGGCCTGAAAGAGGCGACCGACCAGCCCTCGGATTGGCCAATCGATTTGCCCAAAGTTGGAATGCCGCCTCACAGTCAGTAGATTGGGTGGCATCTTCCCGACAGGCAAGAAGATAAGCGGCCAAGCCCTGTGGTCCGAGAGACAGAGCTGGACGATCATTCGTGCCCTCTTCAGGACATGATAGTTTTTCCGATTAATTGAAGCCTTGACATCGGTTCGGTGGAATGACGGACAGTCCAAGTGATGGACGACCGAGGGCAAAAGTGCACGTTCTGGCGCGGAGATGTGTGTAGGACGGGATAGATGGAGGGACAAACGTGGGTACAAACTGTCGATCGGTCGGTCGGTCGGTCGGTCGTGAGTGGCCGAGAGCGTCTTGAGTCGGGACTGGCCTAGAGTTCGAGACAAGCAGAACGGGGCGTCTGCCGGGCAGGTCTGGGATTCGTTGCCGGGCATCGATTGAAATGGTACACTGCCTGGCCAGGCCGGTTTGGTACATGGTACGTGGACTGTTCATCTTCTTTTGCGGCTGCCCTTATGCCCGCCTTCGGTGTCTCGTGCTAGCCTGTGCTGCCGTCGCGACGGCCGGCAAGCGCTGAGCTTGCCTTCTTTCCTCTCGCTTCTGCTCAACCGCTCATCCACTCACCCACTTGCCCACTCGTCCATTCATCTACTCACGCATTCACTGGTTCGTGTCCGGTGCGCTCACGTCAGACGGGCTGTTCACGCAATTTCCTCCGTGTCCTCGATTTGCCCCTCCACGCCGAGGTATCATGCTTCAGATGTGTCCGCCCGGGCTCTAGCAACGCCGTCCAGTGGTCGAGTGAGTTGATGAAAGGTGCCTAGCTCGAGTCGCCTCGTCATGGGGCCGCCGAGTCGGCTCACACTCTCGCCGTCCGACCTCGGCCGCCTGAAGCGCCTATGCCTGACCGTCTGCCTGCTCGTCTGCGGCCATGGCGCCTCGGCGGTCGGTCTGCCCGGCAAAATGACCCTGCCGCCGGCTCCGGGCCTCGACGAGTCCCCCGAGTCCCGCGAGTCCGGTCTCGGAGGCGAGTCGGGCCGACGGGCCGGCGAACGAGTCCATTGCCCCCAGTCGGGGCCGATGGTACGAACGGCCGTCGGCGCCTACTGCGGCCTCCGCAGGGAAGTCGCCTTCTCGGATTCTCCGGCCTCGGAGGTGCACGTCTTCTACGGTAAGCCGAACCGTCCGAGACCATGACAACTCGTTTTCCATGGGAAAATGTAAATATTGTTTGATACTGGCCGGTTGAATGGACTAGTAATTCGGCCGCACCGAATGCCGTGGGAGAGTTGTCTCGGACTTTTGTCTAATGAATTGCGCGAAGAAGACTTCGGCTCATCGCCCTACGACTCGGATGACTCCGAGCTGAGCTTTCGTCCGTCATTTGACCGACATCGTCAGGGCCAAAAAGCATTATTCACGAAAAAGCACAGAAAACAATTAAACCAAAAAGATGGCCAGCTGAAATATCACTTCATTCTTGTACCTCACTGAACG